AATTAAAATTATCCAATTCAGTATATATTATCAAAATGTGTAGTGAAAGAAATGCGTAAATCTTATTATCCTGTTTATTTCCATAGGGAAACGTACAGTTACAAGGAGGCTCAAAAATGAAGCCATCAAACAAATAGGAAAAGCTGTCGTTATATTTTCCTCATTAAAATCTATCAACCACGCGTAACATTATTTCTACAACAAAACGGTAGTAATAAAATGAGGAATATAATGACATTCATCCAATATATTTCCTTTCTACTCATTCACACGTTTTTCCATCATTGTTTCAAATTCAATTAAATATTTTTTTTTTTTCGTTTTCATTTTCAGTCATTTCGCTTTTACTTTCATAATTTCAGTGAAAATAAAACTTGATTGTGACTCCCTGCAGAAGTTTATAATTATTCTTTTACTTTTAACTGTTTATTTACCAAGTTATTTTTCAAAAAAAAATATCAAAAATGAGCGAAACTTTTTTGTTCCATTTCATAATATCTATTTTTCACTTAGACTAATATTTTTTAACATTCAATATTATTTTCTAATTTTTCATGAAATTTTTAATTTGGAACTCTCACTACATTATAAAATTTTAATTGAAATTAAACTGTCAATACTTTGTTTTATAACAAGTTTAAAATATTAATGAATCAATAAAAAAAGTTCTGAAAGATTTACTTGCAAAATTGATCGAGATAGAAAACTGAGAATTTAGGAATCGTAAAATGGCATCCTCGAACGAACTATCAACAACTAAATAGTTCCATAGGTAAGTAATCATGTGTTATCACCTAGTAATGTCGAACAGAAAGACATAATAAAGAGACAGACAAGCTCCAATGGGATATTTTGGTCTTTTTCGATGCTATATGGATATAATATTAGTGAGACTTAAGTCCCGTTGGTACATAAAGGGTAAAACAAGTGTAATGTTTACAAATATTCAATTCTACGGAATTTTTAATAAATATTGTACATTTTTCAATAAACAAATCCAAATTAAGAGGATCATTATCTTTTATGTATTCATCTGGAAATTTCAAAAGAGAATAAACTATTCACCATCCATCCAAAAAAAAAAATTTAAAAATAACCCTACCAGTTGTCTTGAGGTCCTTTTCTGATGTCATAGCATTGAGGTGATTATTTCTTTTTTTGACGTTCCGTGGTTTGTATATTCTCGAACAGTTGCTTTGAATTTAATTTTTGTCTCGCGTTTTTGAGAAAAAAAATGTGTTCTTCACATTTTAAAATATCAGATGAAGATGTGAGAAAAAGTACTTTGGGAAATTGTAAAACATAGATATGCAATTACTTGATTGGTGAGATGCGAATTTATGCAATTTAGTTTACATCAGCAGAGCAGAAATTATTCTACCGGAAGTTGAAACAACCTCTACAAATATTGCCCCCTACTGTGGAGAACATGAAACACTGTGGGGAATCAGGTGAATAGAACGAATTAAAAAGTTATAATTGTTTAGAAAACATTTCTAGGTGGAGTAACTTGATAAGCTTTATTTTAACCCCTTGATGTAATATTTCTATTAAACACATTTATCATACTTATAGTAAAAAATATTATGTTTGCAATCACTAAGTGAAAAATATTATATTTAGCGTTTATAATAATTTATAGTTATGAAATACAGCATGATACACCGGTGTCTTTCTCTGCTTAATTAAAGACCTCAAAGACACATTTCCGAATAATTTTTTTTTTTTCAAATTTGCATTTATTTGCAATTATTTAGATCTAAGAAAAACAGTAATTCATCATTGAAATTTCTTTAATTTACAAAATCAACTATAGATAAAGTTTAAAATATTAATGAAAAAATTTCAAAGTACACTATTTTTTATTTTTTAATGCAAATCTAATTTTGATAATCTGATAGATTTTTTTTTAGTAAATTAGACTGCCTATTATAATTAAATACCAAAATATACATTTTTACTTGTAATTAAAGCATTAAAAAAATACAAAAAAAGGAGTACTTGTGTCCCATCTGCGTAAAAGGGTTAATACAAAGAGCGTATAGCTTGTAACCTTAACTGAAATTTTTTTGACCATGTGAATTCTTCAGTTCACAAGACAGAATCGAACCTTTAGTTTTTCTCCCCAGCTTTTCAATTTCTCTTTCTTTATTTCATGCAAATATCTTACTAGTGTTAATTTTTGATTTAAGTGTTAATTAAATAGTTATTTTTTCTTTATTGTATACTGTTTTTTCTTTATTGTATACTTTATTGTATAAAATTATTTCTGCTAATTTTATTTTATTTTTTTGTGCGCTGTCTCCAAAAGTCACCAAAGAGCAAACAATAAACTTTTTTTCAGAAAATTCTATTTAATATTTATTATTATTCTTTCTTCGATGAAAAATTGATTCCATGTATAATGGAATATATTTTTAGCTTTATATCAGTTACTAAAAACAAAATATATCCGTTTTTGACGATAGATTTCCATTATTTAGAACCATGTGAATTTTAAAAATGAAAAAGCTTCTTGAAACTTTCAATGATCAACATTCTGACTAATATGTCCTTCACGCTTAAAATAAATTATTTTAGTCATTTATCTACGCAGGACATTTCATTGTGTATTCTTTTTCCGGAGTCCAATCAACCGATTTGCCAACAATTTCGTCACTTAATGTTTCACACGTATTCATCAAGTATCCACTTAATATTTTATTCACAATAGTTAATAAAAAATTTTACTTTTATTCGCAAATTCGAAACAAAAATTAAATTTTCACTCTTTTTTTTTATTATTTATAATCAATTATCAATTTCAGCAAAGTAAATTCTTAATCTTTTTTTTAATAGGTACTGTAACCTTGTTTTGACAATGGCAGGAACGAAAATATTTGTATAATGATGCTCAGTTCTTAGAACATTAGTCATTAAACATTAGAACATTTTCTGTATGCAGGTATGCGTGAAATTTTAGAATTCTATTAATATCTATGCAATAAGACCTCGCCATTACGAATTTTTCATCACATTTAATGATAATAGAAAAATGCATTTCTCAGTGACGCATGATTTCATGTCGATAAATATATTAGAGGAAGAAGATGATAAAACAAGAGAATTCTCGCGTGAAGATCCAAAGAAGCAAAGATATTGGCATTGTTTGAAGTAACTGTTTTGCATGTTATACAACTGTTAAAATGTCTTTATAGTTAGTAGTGTAATCAAATTTTTAAAAACCACTTGATATTCATTTAAAATACTCGATTTTCGATATCCCTTTTTTACATAGTCAGAGGGAAAACGAGTTTTTTATACATTGCTTGTTCTTTTTTAATTAGTTTAAGCCAATTTCGATTTCTATAACATTATCCTCCTTTTGCAACGCATAAGCACTTATCAACAAATTTAAAGTAATTAAATAAATTGAAAGTAAAATAGATTTCAAATCACCAATAGAAATGTAAAATTTTCTTTTATTGTATATACAAATTGATACATATTCCATTTCTAAAAAACACAGACAATTAATAGTTGTTAAAAAATATAATCTACACCATTACATGCAATAGTTTAGAACCCCTCAAGCCTATAGTTTCTTTATATTTATAAATCCAGCTCTGAACAGATCTCCTTTCAAATGAGCTTTCCTTAGAGGTAATGAAATTTTTTTCTTGCTAGCAACCCCTCATTAGATTATCTTCTTCGAAAGGTATAAATAGAAATGCATAAAAAATGGTATATTGCATTATTTCAGAAATGAATGCCATAAATACTCCCACCTCCATAAGAATGGATTTTCTGGATCTATCTTTACTATCTTGGTCTGATTATTTTTAAACAATTCAAATAATCTGCACTTCAACTACAACGTCCGTTAATTCTTTGGGTAAATTAAATATAATCGAATGCTGTGAAATATGCCGAACTAATTTTTTCTTCTTCAAAGTGAATTAAATTTCAATTAATTTTGCTATCTCTTCTTTTCTTGAAACAATAGCTACATCAAGTTATTATTATTTTTTATTGTTTTTGCATATCTAAATTCCATGTTATGCCCACAAACTGACACGCAGAAATATGCCCACAAATTCCTTCTTTCTATGATAAGGTTATTAAAAATCGAATACAAATACATGAATATAAAAAATATGATTACATGAATAGAAAAATTTAATTAAAAAGAAATTTGCGCATCGTTAACAAGAAACACCATAGTAAATATACAACGAAATAATATAGCAGAACATAATAGTAATATATTGTTTGCTTTTTATTTTAACACATCCGGTGAATTATGCTATAATTAAAGTATACAAATTTATGCAAGCTTTAAATTAAACATTTAAGAACAATTTTTTAAAAAAAGAAGAAGAAGGTACGAATAATATTTGTTCAATTATACTTATTACAACTTAAAAAGTATTTTAAAAATACTCTTCAGTATAAAGTAAAAAAAAAAGAAATAAGCGCATAATTTTCAGATAGCGATTGCAAAATTTTTATGATCATAGTCTGTGACTGCAATTTTTCAGTGATTACATAGTTGCAATTTATTTCCTAATCTTTTCAATGTGATCGATTCTAGACTTTCAATACCCCAAAATTTCTAAATAACATCTTTTCAATAAACTTACAATTTTATCTGCACTTGTGTGCACTGCAAACAGCACAAAAAATGCCAAATTAGTACAATTTGTAATCGGGAAATTATGTGGAAGCATAGTTTAATTTTAAATTCTTCTAATACTGCTCAAATGTTACGAACTCAATAAAAAGTTTTTAAGTGTTTGATTTACTTAAGCCATGTGTGTTTAAAGAACATAAGATTCGCTTGCAGACTTTATAATTCTTTATTAAGTCAATGGTGTTATAAAATTCTACAGGTAATTCCTAAATGTTCTTGCTACGATTTTGGTATTACAATTCTATTAGTTACTCATAAAGCATAGTTTATTTTAAAATACTTAAAAGAGTAGAGGTCATATTATTTGGTAAATAATAATTCGATCAAAGCACCGGACGCTCTATGGTTTTTATACTTGTCAACAACCGAACGGAAAACGGATAAAGAAGGGTGCGTTCCAAAGTCCACACAAAACACCGGAAAGAATCAAACCAAGCGTGCATCAAAATATTCACTACCCCAAAGCGGATTACATTTCATTTAACCTTAAATACATTTCTCTAGCGTCGAATTCTGTTTACCTCACTAACATCCAAGTTTTGAACTGAAGATAAGACCATTTTTCAAACGAAGTAACAAAAGATATCGTCTGCAATGAATCACCCATAGATAAGGAATTATTTGGTTGTAGAAGAATATTTGTTCTTCATAAGAATTAGTGCTCTTCTTTTTCAGAATAAGTCCTTTTGAGAATCAGAAACTGTGTATTATATCATTTCTTTCAAATCCTTAAGCTTATTTCTTGTCAGGACTTTCTGTGTTAGAAAAAAGAAACAAAAATGGACTTTCCCTGTGACCGTAAATGTCTTATCTCTAAAATTCCGCAAACGATAATGTTTTGTCTATAGAGCCTGTAGTAGAATAAGGTAGAAAGAAATGCACTGTGTTCTTAGGTTACAGAAAGAGTTGAAGTAACGTAGTATTCTAATTAATTTTAGAATGTTGATATTTTTGAAAATTGTCTTGGTTTTTTACGTTTTAAGACTATCATGTGCAATAATCAAAATTGATTCAGATGGAGGTTATACAAATGTTGTGGTTGGATTTCATCCAGATGTTCCTAACTCAAAAGTGGACTCCTTATTTATCGAATTAGAAGTAAGATTTTTAATCTTATTTTATAATTATTTTATTTCATAATTTCTTATTTTATAATCTTATTTTTATAATTGATTCAGTTGTTTAATTAATATCAATTTGTTTTTGTTTTTATTCTTATTTATTAATTGGTTCTTATTTTTAAATTGTATTTATACTAAATATCATGGAAGTTGAAATGATGCTTTGAATCTAGGTTTTTAATTAATATTTAAAATTAGATTTTTGTTTTAATTGTTGAAGTAGTCTACATAGTTTTTTTTTTCAAATTTCAAGCACTAAGAATGAGTAACTTAATAACTTACATTTTTCCGTAATTATTATTATTCAATTTCGTTCTTAAAATTGAATATACGTTTTTTTTTAATTTATTTATTTATTTACTTTTTTAAAAAAAATTTTGTATCTTAGAACCCTTAGAAGTTAAGTGAGTTTACGTTTAAATCCTATTTGAAATAACTATCTGANTGTCATTACATTCGGGAAAGTTGATTGTGCCATGTTACCAATAATCAGTTTGTAAGACTCTTTGGCAGGCACAATTTTTTTTCTGGCGTCTTCTAATTGTAAGATGAAGTATTTATACTGCACCATTTCGTCTATAAACTCAGGCTCAATGTCCTCGAAATAATGTTCCTTAAACTTTGTGCAAGCCTGTCTAATTCAAGCGTGTTGTGTTAAAAAAGCTGCTCTTGCTATATTGTCATCTGATTAGTCGGCGTTAAAATTACCGCGATAAAATTGCTTGCGATTATATTACTGCGTTATATAGGAACTAACTACCATAATATTAATATCTAATTTGGAATGCGTTCAGAAATGTACTAAAATAGCGTCGATGTAATGTACAGAGCAAGACAATCGTCATTGAAATTTCGAATTAAATTTTTACTGTTTTAGAAACATTGTCAATTTTCTTCTCTGTAGCACATGGCCCCTGAACGTGGTGGGGCCCCTAGGCAGTTGCCTACAGTGCCTAATGGATAAAACGGCCCTGAGTATTGCCTTCTAAAACCACGTTTAAAGTAGAAAAAAAAACTTAGAAACTTTTGAATGCAAAAGAAAAATATAAAATAAATAAAAAATTTTATAATAGCAAAAAAAAAAATTTGAATAAAATTAATGTGGGGACATCTAAACGTGTGAGGCTCGGGGCAAATGCCCCACTTGCACAGCCTTTATGACTTGTCATGTCGGTACCGGATAACAGGATCAGACAAAAAATGAAATCCTTATCTAGCCGGTTCTAGATAGCAACTCTAGGCGTATTATAAATATTAGTACTAATAGTAATAACTCAAATATTAATACGCCGTGTACCAGCTATGCAGTTATATCAGCAAATTTTAGCCAGAGCTTCTGTGCACGCTTAACTTTTTAATTAAAATTAAGATTTTAGAAATATTTTCTGGACCTAGCAGATATTTATGAAATATATTATTTTGAAAAGTTAAAATAAAATAAAAATTTGTCAAAATACTTTTTTGTTCAATTAGATTTCTTTTATTAAGTGTTATATAAATTTAATTTTAATAACTTTTATGAAGTGTTATATAAATTTAATTTTACTAACTTTTATGAAGTGTTATATAAATTTAATTTTACAGCAGTTTTTTTCTACTTATCTTTTACAAGCGTGTAAGAACTAATTCAGTTTCTTGAACTAATTCGATTTTCATAGTATTCATTATAATTTTTTACAATTAATTTAATTTTAAATATTATATAAACCACGAAATATTTGAAATTTCTTTATCTATTGTAGGTTTTATGCATCTAAAAAATCCTTTCATAAATTCCACACTTTCTTTTTTGATCTTCATTCAAGTTCATGTTACAGTAAATATAAATTAGTATATATTTGTCCACAAAAGTTTTGGTTTGTTGAAGAAATTACCATTTGTTAAGGAGGTTTGATTGATGTGTTTCCTATTGTTCATATTTTATTCCGGAGCGATGTAGGCAAGCAATTATTTAACAAAAACTATAAATTGCTTTATAAATAATCGAATTATAATAAATGAAAATGCTTCATTTTCGAAATTTATGTGGTGCTCCAAATTAAAGATTAATCTCAATTTTTAATGTAAATATGCAATATTATATCATAAATATGGAAAATTGCCCTGATAGTGTGACTGCAGGGCTAAGCCTCACAGGACACCAAGAAATCAAAAATGGGAGTCTTTTGTGTAAGTTAACATAGTTTTCGTCAAGGAAAGTTAAGGAATCCATGTATTGGCTATTAAATGATTAAATTTAATGNTAGATAGCAACTCTAGGCGTATTATAAATATTAGTACTAATAGTAATAACTCAAATATTAATACGGCGTGTACCAGCTATGCAGTTATATCAGCAAATTTTAGCCAGAGATTCTGTGCACGCTTAACTTTTTAATTAAAATTAAGATTTTAGAAATATTTTCTGGACCTAGCAGATATTTATGAAATATATTATTTTGAAAAGTTAAAATAAAATAAAAATTTGTCAAAATACTTTTTTGTTCAATTAGATTTCTTTTATTAAGTGTTATATAAATTTAATTTTAATAACTTTTATGAAGTGTTATATAAATTTAATTTTACTAACTTTTATGAAGTGTTATATAAATTTAATTTTACAGCAGTTTTTTTCTACTTATCTTTTACAAGCGTGTAAGAACTAATTCAGTTTCTTGAACTAATTCGATTTTCATAGTATTTATTATAATTTTTTACAATTAATTTAATTTTAAATATTATATAAACCACGAAATATTTGAAATTTCTTTAACTATTGTAGATTTTATGCATATAAAAAATCCTTTCATAAATTTTACTCTTTCTTTTTCGATCTTCATTCAAGTAATTTCATGTTACAGTAAATATAAATTAGTATATATTTGTCTAAAAAAGTTTTGGTTTGTAGAAGAAATTACTATTTATTAAAAATGTTTGATTGATGCATTTCTAATTGTCCATATTTTATTCCGGAGCGATGTAGGCAAGCAAATATTTAACAAAAACTATAAACTGCTTTATAAATAATCAAATTATAATAAATAAAAGTGCCTTATTTTTGAAATTTATGTGGAGCTCCGAAGTAAAGATTAATCTCAATTTTTTATATAAATATACAATATCATATTATAAATCTGGAAAATGGCCCTGATAGTGTGACAGCAGGACTAGGCAACAGGACACATACATCCACCAAGAAATCAAAAATGGAAGTCTCGTGTGTACATTACCATAGTTTTCTCCAAGGTAAGTTAAGGAATCCATGCATTTGCTATTAATTGATTAAGTTTTCGCCAAGGAAAGTTAAGGAATCCATGCATTGGCTATTAATTGATTAAGTTTTCGCCAAGGAAAGTTAAGGAATCTATGTATTGGCTATTAATTGATTAAGTTTTCGCCAAGGAAAGTTAAGGAATCCATGTATTGGCTATTAATTAATTAAGTTTTCGCCAAGGAAAGTTAAAAAAACCCATGTATTGTCAATTAATTGATTAAATTTAATGCCAAGGCTCTTTTTTTAGCCAAAGACATTAAAATGTGTTGGAGGAAAAGAAAGCGGGAGAAATAACAACGAAGTTTAATGAAATCAAAACATTAGCAATCCTATAACGATTTTCGAATTCTATGCAAATGTGTTAGGCAGATTTCGGGGGAATATCTAAAAATAGATTTCATTCTGAACTCAAATCAAGGTTGTGGTATAAAAAGACTACAGATTATATTAATGATTTTTTTATTGAAAAAGGATTACATAATATAATAATTTGATTTTAAAATGTTAGGAAATATGTTATGCAGTATGACAATATTAATGTTATGTGAAGAAGCTAGTTAAAAGCCTTGATTTTTATCTATGATGCAAACCAAACAAAAAAATTATGGTAATTGTAATGTAGTTCATGTTTTTCTCCATAAATATGCACTTAAATTCATTTATATTTTAATACATGCTCATTTATACTTATTGTTTAGGAATTATTTAAAACCGCCTCCAGAAACCTAAGAGAAGCTTCGAAAGGAAACTTATATTTTAAAGAAGTTATTTTTGCTGTGCCAAAAAAGTATCATGATGCAACGAAGTTCAGAAATTGGGAAAATGGTGACCATTATTTTCGCCAACCTGATATAAGGATTACATCGAATGATATCTTTCAAAAAGCCTACACTATTCAAAATGATGGCTGCGGAAAACCCGGATTACGAATTCATATTCCAGATGAATTCATTTTTAAAGAAGGAAACTCGAAAGGTATGCTTTCAATTTCATAACTTGAAACTTTTGTGGGGGAATAATAAATAACATAGTGCGAAAAAAAAATAAGTAAATAAACGGAACACCCTGAATAATTTTATTTTAAATTTCAGCATACAAGCACTAAATCTTAATGCTTTATTTTATTTATTTTACATTTTGTAACCGTCGTTGAACAGCAGAACCAATTTTTGGGTTTACGACTGCTAATATTCAACTCCGTAGCCCTGTAATTTTGAACCCAATCCGGAAGACAAGGGAACTCCTGGATCAAGTATTGGGAGAAATTTGCCATTGTGGAGGATTTATTGATGGAACTAACCCGCATTTGCGTTACATGGAGAGGAAGACCACGAGAACCTCCCACGGTTAGCCTGACGGCAAGGGGACTCTAACCGATGATCCGTCCACCATTGAGGATATTTCACGTTAGCACAGTGGTCGGTGCAAGCCGGATGCGGAATCCGTATCGACCAGCCATTGCCGGGATCGAACCCCGGTTCACCTCATTGGGAGGCGATTTTAAGTTACGAAATTAGACAAAATAAAATTTACTTTCTCTAAATAAACATACCTTTTTTTTTGACGAATTTGATTGATTTTTGACTCCCAAAATGTATGGAGTAGTCCTTCATGGAAATATAGTCACAATAGTTTGGTCAGGAGAACGACCAAAAATTTGACCACTTAATGTTAATTTTATTTTTTGCATAATTCGACATATCTCAAGAAGCGAATGAAAACATTTTTGCCCACAATTATAAAATTCGTTTACTTATATATAATTTTAATAATTATCTGATAAATATAAAATTTAATAATTATCGAAGCGAAATATAATTTTAGCGAGATATATTTAGAGAAGTATTATTTCATATATATTTAGCAAAATATAATTTTAATAATTATCTATTATTTTTATTATTTCATTTAATAGTGGTCAAAAGATTTGAGTTGTAAAGTAGACAAATATTTACATCACTTTAAAGAAAATAAATCTGTATGTAAAATTTTTTGTAATAATTCAATGTAAAAAGCAGTACATAATAAAACTAAATAGATAATAATAAATAAAATAATAATTTAAAAAAAACATATTGCGTTAGAAATACGAATACGAGAATACGACATTAAACTACTCATTAAAGATGTATTAAAAATACATATGACTTCAACTTTAGAAGAAAAAAAACTGTAAATCTACTTTATATGCAAGTACACTAACACTGAAAATATGAATTAAAAGAAAAATAAGTGTATTTTTTCTTTTCGCCTGCGCAAAGCGCTAAGTTACCAATGCAAAGTTACCAGGTTCGAGTAAATTCTACTGTTTTATTTTTTTTAAATTTTATTTTTTAGGTAACGGTTATTTTCTTATGGAATAAAAATAAATGAATAGGTAATTGAAATAGCTAAATTTAATTCCGCCGTGAAATAGAAAAGTATCAAATTAGTTTTTTTTTTTTTTTAATTCCAAAAAGATATTTTCGAAGCTTAATATTACAATTATATATTATCAATCTAATAGTGAAGTTGCTTTAATGAAAAAAAAAATTATTTTTGCTCTTTTTATGCGGAAATAATCACTCATGTACCCGAATTACAATAGAAAAAAAACAATTGTTTGGAGCAAAATTATTTTTTTATCATTATTAAATCTCTTAGGAAAAAAAACTTTTTTTTTTCTGTTAATAAAAAATTTCATAATGAATTTTAAAAAATTTTTTTTTCGCTTTGTTAATTGTTGCTAAGTAATAATATGTTGTATAAGAAAATTATATTCATAAAATATGTAGTATCAGTAATTTTTCATTATTTTTTCATTTTTAATTTTTGTTTTTCATGTTATTTTAGGTAAAGACTTACTTCGAGCGTGGGCAAAGTACCGTTACGGAATATTTGATGAAAGTGGTTATGTTGGTGATGATCTTTATCCAGCTTGCTATACTATACCTGGAACCAACACAACGAAAGTTACACAGTGCACTAACAAAGAAAGTAGTTACGACATCAGGTAATTGTTTTGCGGCATTGCCTCCACATAATAAAATAGTACTAGGGGCATAATAAAATAATATTCGCCAACCTACGACATTACTTTTGTAGTTAATTTCGGATTGCTTCACTCGCATATTGCATAGTTTTGTTTTTTTTTAACATAACTTTGTACACTATAAAAAAAAATTCATTAAAAGATCGTAAAAAGTACCGACTGCAGAGTTGCTTGAAATTTTACAGCAGAATTCGTATCGAGAAACAAATGCAGAATTCGTATCGACCAACCATCACTGGAATTCGAACGCGGTCCCCCCCCCCTCCATCACGGTTCACCCTGGAGTATACTTTATTTTATTACCGTCATTGAACAGACTTGTAATTTTGAACTCAATCCAGAAGACAAGGGAAATCCTGGATCAAGTATTGAGAGAAATTTGCCTTCGAGGCGGACTTTTTTATGGAACTAACACGCATTTGCATTTCATGGAGAGGAAAACTACAAAAACCTCCAACGGTTAGTCTGTCGGCAAGGGGACTCTAGCCCATGATCCGTGTACCACTGAGGATATTTGACGTCACTAATGTGGTCGGTCCGAGCCGGGTGCGGAATTCGTTTCGATCAGCCATCGCTGGGATTCGAACCCGATTCATCTCATTGGAAGGTGAACGCTGTACCCTTTGAGCAACCACGGCTCAGATTTATTTGTTTCAGAGGCTTAGTTTTTTCATAATATAATTTTTTTTTTCTAATTGAACTTTTAACTTTAAAACTAAATCATAGCATCTGTCTTTAGTGCACTCTGACTCAATTTCTTAAAGTAAAGAGCTTGCAGCGCACCCTAGTGTAGAAAACACCATACATAGGTCTAAGGAACTCCACCAGCTGTTAGCTATCCAATCAGCAGAACCAGATTGCTTCGCTCGCACATGGAATATTTATATTAGTCTACATTGATGTGTAAACTAGTACTTTTTTTAAAATGAAGTTCTTAAAGTATGCAGCATATGCATCCTGTAAAACCTTTGATTTCTTTACATTTCATTAAAATTTAATACATTACGATTTGGTTTACATGCATTTTAGTGGTACTACATTTAGAACATTTAGAACAAATAGTTTATAGAGTTTCTCTGTGTACAAAATTAAACTCATTGCTTGGAAATGAAAAGCAGCTCTCATCATTGTTACATGTGCAAGTGTAATAAGCATAATTAAAACAAAACTGTAGAGCAGCTTGTTCAATTATATGAACTGTTCCTTTTTTTATTTCTGTCTGTTCGCTATCATTTCTGCCCAAGTTACAGCTCAGTCTGTCTCAGCTCTTCGTTGCCCTCAAGAAAAATATCTAAATGAAAATGGGTTAAGCTTAATTTTGCAATTGCTTATGACTGATCACTCGTTTGATATTTAAATTTTTCATTACCTACGAGAAAATGAAAATTCATTCGATATACATGTACGTAACGTACGCTTTAGATAACATTAAAATAAACATTTTAAAAACTACCTTCTTCACGAAGACTAATTAAAAAAAATCAAAATATGTTTTTGTCAGAACTAAAACAAAAACCTTAGAGTATATCACTTTCGTAACAAACTTTTATCACCATCAGAAATTCTCCTTTGCGTCTTTCAAAACTAATAGCCTATGCCTTTTTTTTTAAAATTTAGATATGAAAATTAGAATTCTATTCTCCTTTAAATCAACGTAAAAACATACATTTAAAAATGTTTTTATTTTATTATATTTTTGTCTTTTCTTTAATAATTACTCTGATAAAATAATTAAACTGGATGAAAATAGTTTATTTTCGCGTGTCTAAGTTACATCAGTATTCAGTTCAAACTAAACAATAGGTTAATGAATATATGCAAGTTATATATTAATTAGTTTATATACAAAAACTTGTCTTTGCATGAAAAAGGTGATCGCGTTCATATAGATATGTCATATGTTTATTTGTAAGTTACTCTTCGACACATTAATTGCTAGGAATGATATACATTGTTTCCAACTTGAATGCTAATCAAGAAAGTAGTTTTTTATTTTTTACTTTGGGATGTAATACATGTGTGACTACCTCAAAAATGATATAAGAAGAAATTTCTATCCTTCAAATCAAAATATCACAGAAACAAAAATCTTGTTAAAATCTAAGCTAAAATCATTTCGAATGCTTTAAAATTAGCCGCTATTTACCTCGAATGATATTGCTTCTTAAAAGAGAGTTTTGAAGTTTCATTCAAAATATTTCATAAGTTGAAATTAATAACTGCTTTTGTTATAATCTAATTATGTTTAATTATTGTACTTAAGACAAGAATTAATGATAATAAACGATCGTTAAATAATTTAATTGTGATATAAACTTTATTTTCCAGAGACATTGAAATGGGAAGTTCTAAAAAATGTAATGTCGTACCGAAGTATGGAAAGAACAATGGAATTACATCATCGCTCATGACTAATATGGATTTTCCGAATGTAAGACACATTTCTTTTTATCATTTGCAATGTGAAATAAGTACAGAAAAATATTAAGACTCGATACCTGGTTAATACTTTTGATATTTGGCTAAATTACTGATTAATAATTTGAAGTTCTAAGTGCGGACACTGCTTCTGAATGACTTTAACCTAGACAAAGCCATTAATTTATGGTGGTGAGATACAACTTAACCTAGAATTCCAAATTTTAAGAATTGATAATAGAAAATTAACATAAAATTAGTTTTCTTTTTCTGAATTAGAGAATTTCTTTGTTTCTCGTAAGGAGATAACTTTTACCTTAAAAATTTAAATTTTACCTGTTAAAATTGAATTTGCTTATTATTTACATTAATAGGCAAATTTAAATTTCCGTTGTCAGAGAATTATTTAAACTTGCATATATAATAATATATCTAATACACTACTCTAAGAATATAGTTATATATAACAATTTTAAATTGTCAAAAATTTTAATATTTCATTTCAGAATCAATAGACATTATATGCTTATAATTGTTTTTATAATGAAATTATGCAATAATGCTATTATTTACTTTAATAAAAATTCTTCAAACTAAAAAATAAAAGAATAGATATTCTCTTATAACAATTTAGAATCAAAATCATTATTAAGATGCTTTTAGCACCAAAAGTTGGTTAATGAAAGTGATTAGGGGAAAGAAATATTGATTAGTGAAAAGAAGAAGAAAAAAATGGCCACCAATAAATTTACTTCCTAGCTGCCAGTGGCCACCATATAAATTTCTCCTTTAAATACCTAATTAAATAACTAAGTGCTAATCTAACAAATATTATCTGTTGAAAAAATGTTTTTGAGTTTGAATTTGCTTCAATCTTTAAAAATGAAAAATAATCTTTGTTACGAGATTCGTATAAAAAGGCAATATTATGTCAAAAGAAGAAGACAAAGCTTACACTCTCAGATTAAATTAGCTTTTAAATCTTTAGCAAGTTATCGGAAAAATAGTACAGATATATTGATGATAGATAATTCGATAGTTTAAAATCTTTAATTATTAATCGATGCATTATAAGAACTATTATTAGAGCTATGCTATCTCCTTACACATAAAATATAAGATTACCCAAAAAATGATGCAATACATTTGAATTAATTTGCTTCTCTATACTTATTACACAGATTCCATATTAAGGATCAGAAAAGGTATTCTATTTTCTTTACGTAATAAATTACATATAAGACGATTTTTTGTTAATATTAAATAGCTTATTTAAACTATTAAATATTTTTTGTTTCCATTATTTTATTAAAATGTGTTCCATTGAATCTAGTAGCTAATCTTATATTTTAATGTCGCAAGTATTTTTAAAGCTTAAAAGAGTTTATTAATAATTTTTAAAAATTCTTAAAAATAATTAAAAAATATTGTTAAATTAATACTTACTAACTACACTGTTGGGATTTTTATTCCAAAATTACGGTAAAATAACCGGCAGCAATCTGTCCATCCAATTAACCGTAGAGTTGAAATTTTCGTACTTTTACGGTTTTGAAACCGTTTACAACCAGTATGGTTAACAAATCATGAATTAAAAAACTATATGGTTTGTTATCCATATACTACTAGCATGTTTTCAAAGCCGTAAAAGAGAAGTTCAACTTGACATTGGAGATATTGTAGCAGCTTTATGGTGCTGCCATCTATGTGTGAGTGAGAGTATCGTATTCTAATAGTCCGGGGTGACAAATTGGGAAGGACAGGACCGTGGAAGCTCTTTATGTGTTGAAGGAAATGAAAGAAATATGTTTGAAGTTGGTGCAATTAAAATTCTGGTTGTTTAACCGTATTAGGTGAAAGCAGTTAATGAATAGTATTTCTCTCGGTTAACAGTTTAAATACCATCTTATTTATGATTATTTGGCAGTTTTGTTTGAATATGGTAAAATAGCAATTAAATAAATTTTTATTTAACCATTTTTCCGTGAAATTTCTAACAGTGCATTTTCAAAGGAACACGTAAGAATCAATAAAATTAAATTAAAAAAAATATTCTAAAATATTAATTAACTATTATATAAATAAGGAAATCGCGTTTATACATTTCTCCGTAGATTAACATGGAGTAAATAAAATCCCTTCTCTGTATGAAGAGGACACTTCAGCAAAATTCTTACAATTCATTTATTACAAAATACACTAACATTAAATAATATTATAAATATATACAATTTGATTTTCTTTTTGTTCGTGTATTTTTATTGATTGAAATAGTGTAACTAATGAAATGTGTTTGTTTAAGATTAAATTCTTTTGCGATGATTCTTCTGCGCATCCACACAATAAAGATGTGCCATCAAAGCAGAACATTCTATGTAAAGAACAGAGTACTTGGAAAATTATTTCACAACATGATGATTTTAAAGCTAAGCGGTAAGTCGTAGTTTCAGATTGAAATAATTTGAAAAATGTTTTCAATAAAACGCGATGTAAACAATAGAAAATAGGAAAGCAATGGAAATGACGCTTTGTCTCGTTCTGTTTGAGAAACTAGTATTAGAATATCACCAAGTTTCAAAGTTAGTTACGAATTTTGTCAGCAGATGGCTATGCAAAATGAAATAAGCTGTTAAACAATGCTTTCACAATATCTGTTATATGTTATATACAGACAAAATTAACTGACACTAGTGCAAATCTGTTAGAAAAGTCTGATATGTTTTATTTATGGAACATGATTTTATTAAATGACTATGACAAAACATAAGTATTATTATTATTTGAGATAGGTTTCTTTTGTTCATCCAAATGAACTTTGCTTCCTAGCTTTTCAACGCTTAAAAACTTTTATTTTAACTTTATGAAATTGTAATAGATGTTGAATTTAGTGGTCGAAACAAACGAGCTACAAGTACTACCGAAGTCACTACAAATAAGTATGCACTGTAGCCATTTTCATTTTTGAATTGATTTTTATTATTTCAAAATGTTATCCTTTTTGAGAAAACAGTAGTTTGTAGTTCTACTTTTAAAAAACAGTACTACAAGTTAACTTAAGTTTGTAGTACAAATAAGTATGCACCGTAGCCATTTTCATTTTTGAATTGATTTTTATTATTTCAAAATGTTATCCTTTTTGAGAAAACACTAGTTTGTAGTACTACTTTCGAAAAACAGTACTGCAACTTAACTTAAGTTTGTAGTACAAATAAGTATGCACTGTAACCATTTTCATTTTTAAGAGATTTTTATTACTTCAAAACTTTATCCTTTTTGAGAAAACACATAGTTTGTAGTACTACTTTTGAAAAAACAGTACTACAGGTTAACTTAAGTTTGTAGTACCACTTTTGTTTGTACTTTTGAAAATATCACTAGCTTTTAGCCATTTCTTGCAATTGCTTTTAACGTCAGCTTAGTAAAGAAACAAGGTTCACAACTAATTTCTGGAATCTAACTGGTACAAACTTACACGTGATTATCAATGGACGCAATGAGAATACAAATTTCTAACGTGTTTTTTTTTTTTTTTTTCCAGTTAACTTTAGCTTTAATCACTCAACAAAATCGCAAATATTTGCAAAAATAATCATAAAATGTTAATGGTTGAAGTAAAAAGTTCGTAAAAAATAAATTTGCCTTCTTATTATTCCAAACCATGTCTTTATTAACTTTTTCCTTTCAAATATTAAACTTTTTTGCTTTTGAGCATGAGAGTATACTGAATCATCCAGCTTAATTCATCTCCCAAAAGTAGTAAGTAGTGCAGTGATTACAAAAGTAATTTGTAATCACTGCATTTAAAAGAAGTGTAGTAGTTGTAGTTAACTATAAAAAAGAACGTTATGGTTTTTCCGACCACTGGTTTAATTTTTAAATCTGATCAATTAAACGCAAATCTAATACGGATCGGCTACTCAAGGCCAATTATAAAATTAAATTTAATGTAATTTATTCCTTTAACCCCTTAACGATCTTTTAATTGTTAAGAAAACGATCATAAAGTGCCTATTTTTTTATACACGTATTTGATTAGTGCTGACATCTAGTTTAAAATAAACTAACCATCCACAATTACATTTAAAATATCCTGGTACTGCCATCTGGTGTGTAAAATGAGAAAAAAAATGTTTTCCGAGCAAAAGAAATTAATTAGTTTTATTCTTATTGGCGCGTTACTACAGAACACTCCAGCCCGGTAATATCACAGGAGCGAGAAATAGAGGGCAAAACCTCACCCCGTCATTTTCACGGGAGCGAGAAGGAAGGGGTTAATATACATCAAGTGCCATCTATACCTAAAATTTATCAATTTTATTTAAATTGAAGCTAAAATTTTTGTCTTAAAAGGCGTCCAATATAGAAATTTTAAAATACATCCTGATTTACGCGATACACATTTCATAATATACAATGCTTGAATTTTGTCGATTTTGTTTCCGCGGAAAATTAGTTTTTTTTTTTTTTTAAACAAAATTATTTGACAACTATTCCCTATTTATAGCATTGATGTACGCTGTTAATAAATACGCTCTAAGTTGTGCTCAAAAACGTTTTCCTTATGCGTTAACAAGATAACAAGATAGAAGGTAAATTATTGAAGTAATTTTTAAGTGCTCAAGTTTCAATAATTTTTCCAACCTAAATAATTTTTTTATGCGTAAGATTATTTTTTGTCTTATTTTTAGAAAACCATCTATTTCTGAAAAAACTAGTTTCAAATATGTGATGGAATCAACAGAAAAACTGATTTTTGCTGTAGAAACTTCACTTGAGATGGCTTCTGACGTAAGTTTTCATTTTATTCCCATCTCAAATTTTAAATTATTATCAGTAGGCAGTTATTTTAAATTATTATTCCGTCACGAAATGTCAGGGCTGGTTCATTCCTTACTCAAAGCTGAAGTGACAAATCTCCACGACGTCACGCCGCACACAGATCTTGAAAATCACTACTAAAGAATATCAAAACTTTGCAGATTATACTTTCTGTAAGAAATTATTTGAATGTTCGACACTTTTCTGATAATAGCTGTCAAACTTTACACTGCTGACTAATTATTTCTGTTCGAAAATTGGTATTCCCCTAACAGTATTAAAAAATAACATTTTGAAGCTAGAAAAATATCTTAATGGCTGTCGTCATCGTTTCATTATCATTTTCTATTTTAGTTAACTTCCATGGTAGTTTAGTTTAAGACTTTTATGGTATCACATTGTCCAATAAGNAATCTGATCAATTAAACGCAAATCTAATACGGATCGGCTACTCAAGGCCAATTATAAAATTAAATTTAATGTAATTTATTCCCTTAATATACATCAAGTGCCATATATACCTAAAATTTATAAAAAGAATTTCAAATTTACGTTAAAATTTTTGTCTTAAAAAGCATCCAAACGTAGAAATTTTAAAATACATTCTGATTTATGCGACACACATTTTATAATATACAATGCTTAAATTTTGCCGATGTTGTTTCCGCGGAAAAGTATTTTTTTTTTTTTATAAACAAAATTATTTGGCAACTATTCTCTATTTATAGAATTGATGTACGCTGTTAATAAATACGCTCTAAGTTATGCTCAAAAACGTTTTTGCTAATGCTTTACGCCAACAAGATAGAAGGTAAATTATTGAAGTAAATTTTAAGTGCTCAAGGTTCAATAATTTTTCCAACCTGAAAATTTTTTTTGTGCGTAAGATTATTTTTTTTTTATTTTTAGAAAACCATCTATTTCTGACAAAACTAGTTTCAAATATGTGATGGAATCAACAGAAAAACTGATTTTTGCTGTAGAAACTTCACTTGAGATGGCTTCTGACGTAAGTTTTCATTTTATTCTCATCTCAAATTTTAAATTATTATCAGTAGGCAGTTATTTTAAATTATTATCTCGTCACGAAATGTCAAGGCTAGTTCATTCCTTACTCAAAGCTGAAGCAACGAATCCCCACCTCCTGACGTCACGCCGCACACAGATCTCGAAAATCACAACTAAAGAATATCAAAACTTTGCTGCTTATACTTTTTGTGAGAAATTATTTGAATTTTCGACTCTTTTTCTGATAATAGCTGGCAAACTTTACACTGCTAACAAATTATTTGTGTTCAAAAATATAGTATTCATACATTTTCTTGGTATTCTCCTAGTACTAAAGTTAGAAAAATATCTCAATGGCTGTCGTCATCGTTTCATTATCATTTTCTATTTTAGTTTTTAATTTTCATAGTAGTTTAGTTTAAGACTTTTATGGTATCACATTGTCCAATAAGAATATGTAACTATAAAAATGTCCTTATAGTTTGTGGTGCTAGTTGTTATCGATATTGTCAACCTTCATCTATGAAAAGGTACCCCGTCATACAATTGAGTTGACATGTCTTATATACTGGTGAATTGGAATTGTATTTTTGTAGTGGTGGACTACACCCACCAGAATTATAACTGTAATAGAATTCGATGAACGGTTACCACTAGTTGATTCATTGCTGTTTTGTGAGAAGCCGGGAGAGCTGTATTAAGATCACCGTACTTTTGAGTTCTGATAGTGAGAGCTGTATTAAGTTCACGGTGGTGGTAGCTCGTGTGTTGCTTCTTGCAGTCGAGTGTATACGTTATGTTTGACCGAGACTGAGTAGCAACAGCGCGAGGGGCTGGATGATGTCGCAGTCACAATTAGCAAGTAAACTGTTCAATGTGGACCATACATCGAAATCGGCGTGTTCACATCGAAGTGGGCATTTCTGCCAAGATAGGCGTGGTCATATCGAAGCGGGAGTTTTCTGTCTGTAACCTCAAAATTAAAAAAAAATATATATGGAAAACAATGAATGTATTGAAATAAGTTTGAAAAAAAAATGCTAGTTACAACATGCAAAATAATTAGTTTTTAAAGTTAGAATTTGATGCTGCACCGCCGTGACTGAAATCAGAAACTCGGAGCGGCACAAGTCTCTTCCAAAGAGTGCTCCAGTCCTTCTTATTCACTCTTTAACCCTGACGAAATGTTCCTAACTAATTTTTTTTTTGTAAGAAAAAATATAATTACATACATTAATATTGAGGGCTGACTAACTTCACTGTATGTTTCAAATTTTCTAAATTGCTTGTCTTTTAGTCACGTTAAACTTATGAATGAACTTAAAGAAATTGCAAATGCGAATAACGTAAACTGAGATCGATACGTTTTTAAGATTGTATACATCTTTTTGGTATTTTTGCTTTTCGAATTTCCTTTTTTTTTTAAATAGAGATTTAAAATGTGAAGAATTTTCAAAATTTAAAAAAATAAATAAATGGAAAAAAATCATTGCATTACCCTTAATTACATTTACTTCTTCAAAACAAGCATTAAAAATTTAAAACTTAGGAAAAACAAATCAGTGTCATGTTTAGTACATTGCTTCCTAAATCAGAAAAGTGCAGTAGTAAAATGAATTTTATATAATTAGCTAGAGTATTAAAGAAAAAAAATGTTTAAAAAGACAGTTCAAAGGATAAAACTATCATTTCCTTCGCTAAGATTTATTTTAGGGCAAAAATTTTTTTTTAAAAATTAAGAGACACTAACGCCAATTAACACAAGCACTTTTTTTCTCATCAATGTATACTTAAAGTAAAAAGCATTCCTACAACAACCCATAATGGCTTAGGGAGGATTATGAGGAATAAAACTTCACAATTTCATGACTAAAGTTATGACGGTAACAATGTAGTCATCACTTCACAGCAACCGGCTTTACTTCCCAGGCAAGCTAACATCCATCGATGTGGAGCTGGGTGCGCTTCACGACGCCGCCGGTGATCGAACCTCAGTGTTTGACAAAGACAGTATAGTACCTTAACCACCAAACTATCGTGGCTCATTGATGTATATTTATTGTTCATATTTCTTTTCTTCTTCTCCTTTTTAGGATAGATTGGATATGGTCCGAAATGCTTTTTCTTATTTTATGCTCTATAACTTGCCAGAAAGGGTTACAGTTGGCCTAACGCATCTAAAAAATGCAGAAGATAGAACATTGCTATTGACAGTAAATTCGCAAACCGACGCAGAGAGACTCATCGATGCTTTTCCCGAACCAGATGAAAAAGACGATGTGTGTGTTCATTGTGGGATAGAAAAAGCATTACAGGTGTGTAAGCAGGCTATTTCATTTCCTATCAAACGTGTGTGTACCTTTTTTGAAAATACAAGTGTCTTATTTGATTAAGCATTTTTAGAATTCATATCAAAAAAATTTTTAAAAAGTGTGCACATTAGACACCGGGGTTAATTCATGGCTAAGACATTATTATTATTTTTATATATATATTTGCGCATGTTTATCCACAACTGTAAGGATAAAAGATTTTTCCATTTTAGTCTGTCAACCGTTCTTTTGTACGCATTAAACAGATAAGAAATAACAGTGAAGTATCCCTGTTTTTTTTTTCTTTTCTTTTTTTCCTTTATCTATAAATATTTTTCTCATACGACTCGCATTGCATTTAACAATATTTAAAAGATAGATAAAAAGGAAGATAAACATGGCTTCTCATTGAGATCACATTAAAAAATGAAAATTTTATTATAATTTTCCTGCTTTCAAAAAAAAAATTAAATTGAACACCTCAATTTTATTCGTGATTTTTTTTCCTTCAAAAAATAAAAAGTATAAAGAGAAAAAATTACATTTTAAACCCCATAAAAAATTCATATTATTAAATTTTATCAAGTATATTTCTTTATTTTTTTTTTTTATTTACTCTAAATTATAATTAAATGAATTAAAAATATATTCATTGTAGTGGATTTTCGTGATTATTCTGGACCACTTATTTCCAAGATTTAAGAAAACAACGAACAATAAATCATATAATAAGTAATAATAGATAATAATAATAATAGATAATAAGTAATAAATGTCTTATTGAAGAAATTTTTTTTTCTTTAGTATACCCAAGAAATGGTTATATGTGTATACAGTTAGTATACCAAGAATGGTCGCAACCATTTCTTGGGTATACTTGCAAATAAAAAGTTATCGCATATTGGAATGTAGTCTTTGACCCATTTATCAGAACTTTATTGTATTTAAATTTGTTTAAAACTGAGTCTCCGAATATGCAATAAAATTTTTTTTTGTTATTTATTCATTTAATTTATTTAAAGTATCTACTCATAAAGAATTTTAGGCAGAGACTCATATGCACTCATAATGTAGCATTATGAATAATTTTTCTCATTTATTTTCTTGGTTAAAACAGTCGCTTAATTAAAAATAAAAGGATAACAAGTCGCAAGTATAAACGGTAAATATTTTTGTATGCTTGTACATAGAATGATTTAAAAAGTTTTAAAAAAAAACAAGGCCAAAACAAAGAGAAAAATTAGCGTGTAACATATGTGGCAATGCAACAAAAATAAAATAATGAAAAGTGATTTTTGTTTACTGTCTTTGCAAAGTACGTATCATTAGCAAATGATTTTTTTTTATTCATTTTAGATTGATTTTTTTATTCATTTTGTATGCTGGCTTTTTGTCGTTTTAAATTTGGCCACGGATTTTTTAAAACATCCTTCATGTACGGTCTTCTCAAACTTAATGACAAATGATTTCTTTCAGATTTTGAAGAATAATTCAGATGTGCCTCATGGTGATATAGTCATCGCAACAGCAAAGGACATTGAAGAGCCTTACGTCAAAAACTTAATTGAAGAATTTTCAAATAATTTTGTGAATTTACACATCATTTATTTTAATAGAAAATTAAAACAGCCACCCTTACTGCAAAAGCTCGTTTCAAACGGAAGAGGACATTTCTACTACATATCTGAAAACTACAAATCAGGTAGCTCTGGGTCAAGTCTTACACAAGTTTATGAAGTGTTTAGAGCAGTATATGAATCTTTATCCTGGATGAACAGAAAACACGTTTTAGTAAGTGTCCTGTTATAGTCATTTCAATAATTAATGATTATTGTATTTTTTCTTTTATTTATTTTCTAGCTCCTTAAATGCATTTAAACAATAATTAATAAATTTATCAATCGTACGACAGAAAACACGTTTTAGTAAGTTTCCTGTTTTAATCATTTCAATAACTAATGATTAATGTATATTTTCTCTTCTTTTATTTATTTTCTAGCTCCTTAAATGCATTTAAACAATAATTAATACATTGATCAATTGCACGAAGCCTGTAAAAATACGTAGATGCAAGAAGTAAAATACTTAAATGCAGTAATGTAAAAACACTTAAATGAGATGTGCCTTACCATCCTTTGTTTTTAATAAATATGAAATGTAAGGGTAGTTCAGTGGCGACAGTACCCATCTTCTTTATTGTAGAACTGCTTCAGATTTAGTTATAAAAGCGTAAGTTATAAAAAGATAATTTTAAATGAGTTAAGTTATAATAGTTTATGGTATGCTAGGGTGCTGAGAATATGAAATCATAAGTATGAAAATAATAAGAAAAGGCAAAGAAAGGCCGAAAAAAAGAAGTGAATAAAAAAATAAAAAGAGAGACTTGAAAAGAAAAAATCATTAGCTAAAAAGTAAAAATCATTTTTTAAAAATAAATAAATAAAATAAGCGACTGATTAATAATAAAAAAATATTCCATCTTCATTTACGAATCCCACAACATTATTTGAAAGTATAGAACATTGAATAATATGCATGTTCTGTAACGACCATAATTCTTATCTATCTTTAGAATCATTGTCAATAGGAGTTGATAAAGTACACACATAAGGGATAACAATATTTAAGCAAGGAAAAGCAAAAAAAAACTATTAAATCACTTTTCAGGAAGACGAAACTAAAAATAAGAAAGACTGTTAAATTGAAGGTGAAAAAAAAAGGTATAAGAAAAAAAAAGATTATTAAAACGTCTTCAAGTTTCATCCAGCAATTAAACTGGTAAATAATATTTTTTTAAAAACACTGCGTGAATATAATTACTGAGTGTTTATTTATTATTTTCAGGTGAATCATGGGACATTTTTGGCTGAGGATTGCTCTGTTTGCCATATGACATTCAGCAGTGATGAGAGTTTAAACAATTTTCAAGTATTGCTCACAGGACCAGATTTTTTAAGGACATCCCCCATTGTGAAAAATACAGTCAATCTCGTCAGTCAAAATGAAAGCTACTCACCCGGCGATCCACCCTTTTCGTACAAAATTAAGATACCAGCGTACACATTTAAAATTGACAAACCTCAGGTGCATTTTTCTTACATTTAACTGTATACACGTTTAAAATTGTCAATCCTCAGGTACATTTTTCTTACATTTAACTGTATATACGTTTTAAAATTGTCAAACCTCAGGTACATTTTTCTTACATTTAACTGCATACATATTTAAAATTGACAATCCTCAGGATCATTTTTCTTACATTTAACTGTATACACATTTAAAATTGACAATCCTCAGGTACATTTTTCTTACATTTAACTGTATATACGTTTAAAATTGTCAATCCTCAGGTACATTTTTCTTACATTTAACTTTAATAAGAACTATTGAAAAGAAATTTAATTTTCTGTGTTATAAATGATCATATTTTTTTTTCAGAAAATTGAAATAACAATATACACATTTAAAATATAGAATCCTCTTAATAGTTTATTTTATTATTTTATTTAAATGAAACAGTGAATAAAAAATTCAAAATTTCCTCTTGTGTATAATGAACCTCCGAATTTTTTTCATGATAGCACATTAGTAGAATATGTGTTACCGTGAATGATCGAAATCAAGAGGAATGTCGATTTTCACCGGTGAATGTTAACAATCACATAGTCGCTTTGGTGAATGTCCGAAATATTTGTCATATCCGATTTGATATTAATTTATTGTTGATGCTATTATGATTATTCGATATTTTAATATCTACTGAAGACAGATTAAGACAAACATCAGTGTTCGGAGTACCGGTTAAATGCATACCTGGCAGTGGCACTTAACTTTAATAAAACATCAGTTTAGGATATACCGGGCAGTGGCACTTAACTAGAACTAGTATATGTTTTGGACATTTACCAAAGCAACTATGCGATTGTCAACATTCAGTGGTGGAAGTCAACAGTCACCAATTTTGGTCATTACCAGAAATATATACATTTTAAATTGAGAATCGTTGATTTAATTATAAATATTTCATTATGATATGTAATTTAACAGAATAAGGAATGAATTATTCAAAAAATTATTCATCTTACATATTGAAATCTTCACATGTTTTATTCGAATGATGTAAAATAATTGTATTTAGTATGTGTTTAAAATAGGAGCAAATAATAAAAATATATTATTGTTTTTTGCTCATTTGCTGAAAGCAAATTTAGTAAAATTAATTCATAAACATCGTATTTTTCAATAGTTACCTCAGAATTATATTCATCATGATTTCACTAACTTTAAATAAATTTTAAATTTATTCATTTTTTTTTTTAACTTTTGTATTTGTTTAGCCAAAATTTAATTTAGTCATAATTTAATCATTGGATTTCTCATAATTTAATCATTGGATAGCATTTAATTTAATCATTGGATTTCTGAATTTCTTTCACCAAATAAGAAACCTATTTTTAGCAAACATATTTCTCTGCTCCAAAGATGTTTACTTTACCAAGGTTTCGCTGAATTAAAATTCTGCAAAGAATAAAATATTTCATGTCTGAGCCAGTTATATCAGCTAGTTTTAAAAAAAAACTGATGGGATTTCTAAATCTGCATATATTTTCATGAATGGTTTTATTAAGATTACCATAAATCTAAAAACGGTGACGGCGAACATGAATGGGTGAAACCCGGCACTAGATACCCAGTAAAATTAGCAGGGTCCGAGTACCCGGTACCGGGTAGCAAAATTCTTTTGACGGTAGTGAAAATTTGAACATGTTTCAGGATATAGCCGGATACCCTTTCCATGGTCAACATGAATACCCTTTCTATGGTGAACATGAATGGGTGAAACCCCGCACTAGATACCCAGTAAAATTAGTAGGGTCCGAGTACCCGGTACCGGGTAGCAAAATTCTTTTGCCGGTGATGAGAATCTGAACATGTTTCGGGTAATAGCCGGATACCCTTACTTTCTCTGCAAAAAGTTAAACATAGATTGTTTCTTTTACAGCCAGGCATGTGGTCTATTTCATTTGAAAGGAAAGCTAAATCCAAGAAACCAATCGTCGTTATTGTGAGAGGATTTACTTCGAATTTTAACCATGTCATAGGATTGAAAACATGGATAAAACATGATTCTGGCGAAAATGTAAGTTCACTTTTTCTGCATTCAATTTTCTTTAATAAAATTGTAATTATAGAAATTTTTGAAATCATAACTTTAGTGTTCTTTCTTTAATATGATTTGTTTCTTAACTAAACTGAATTATTTAAAATCATCTTACTTTCATAAATAGTATTACATTTTTTATAACTTTAATTGGTCGATTAAATTCAACTTCATATAAAAAGTAAAATAACAGGCGATTTCTATGTCATAATTTTGCAATTTTTTTTTAATCATAATTCAAATTTGTTGAACCCTTATTAAGGTTAAAAAATAGAAAAATCATCTTAACTATATTCCATATGAGATATTTTTCTCAGGAAAATTTATTTTAAAAGTTCATGATTCTTTTGTTTTGCTGCACATGCATTTTGCAATTGATATATATGAAAATTTTATTCAACGTAATATCACCAGTGTTTGGATTAAGAAATGACACAGGTAACAATTTTTTTTTATGAAAATAGTAAATAAATATTTTTCTATATTTTTATATCATAAAGTTATTTCCATGATTATATTCTCCTAAAAAAGTACTTTTCTTGTTGGTGGCAAAATACTAATTCACGAAAAGAGTTAATCATTTTACTTTTTTCTTTTATTAAACTACTTTTTCGAACATTTTATCAGAAAAATCAATTAAACTGTACAATAAAAAACATGGTTGGGAAAACTAAAAATTGTTTTACTTTTTATGCAGTTATTATTAATAAATAGATATCCTCTAGAAAAAATAAACCCTCCCAAAACCAGTTTCTTTACCTTTTACGTTGTTGTGGATATATTTTTTCTTTTCTTTCATATTTTTTTATCCTTCTTGCTATATTGACCATTTTTTATCAATTTATCCACTTTAATAATAAAATTGCGTCTAATTTAAATTGAATCATTTTTCTCAGAAACAGAAAATTCATGTAATCTTTAAAATAAAGTAAATGACATGCAGCTCATTTTGTTTACACATTGTAAGCAAAATGAAAAGATGAACAGTGCAATATTATGTCTCTTATATTTTTACTGTACATAGTATACCCCATAATGAAAACAATGTTGTCAGGAAAAGCTTAATATTTATGCAAATACAGGATGTTTCGTATTAACTACCCTGAATATGTAAGTAAGAAAAAAGTTGAAAAATGCATTTGTCACCAATTGGTATTAAAGTGAGAAAAAGAACAAAATCGTTTCCCTACTTTAGCATTAAAAGCTAATGTTGGATTAAAGTAACAAAAATATGTTTATTAGTCAAGTGGAACTGAAACACATATGCTTTTTACTATGCACCACTTTTCAATCTCTCTTTTACTCTGATTGACATTGATAATGATTCGTTTACATCAGATTTTTTTGCTCCTTTATTAAATATTAATTTAAATTATTTAGTAATACCTTTTTTACCTTATTTTTCTAAAGATATGCATTAAGGGTGGTCATTTCGGAACAGTATACTATCAAACTTGAATTGAATATTCAAAAAAAATATTTTCTTTTCTTGAATAGGACATAATGTTGAAACAACCACCCTTTACTTTATACTCAGAGGCAAAGAAAGGGAATTTCGTCATCAATAATGCAACTGTAACTGTTACTCTACATGAAGTCAGTACTGGGACACAGATAACATTTCCATTGTTTGATAATGGTGATGGCGGTAAGTAATATATATATATATATATNNNTAGATAGATAGATAGATAGGTGTGTGTGTGTGTGTGTGTGTATGTATATATATATATATATATATATATATATAGTGAAAACATGAAAAAAATAGAAGATTATTGAAAAGAAAACAAGAAATATTATTAAAATAAAATATTTTTACAAAAATAAAAAATTAAAACAAAATGTATAAATAAATAAGTAAAAATTTAAAAAATATGTATTAAAAAATCGGAAAACCAAAAATAAATGAAAAGATATAATCTCTTCATCAATTCACACGATTCTATCCGCTTTCTAATATTGTATCAATATAGCCAAAGAAACATATATCAATACAATGGAATGAGGACCACTTAAAAAAAATTTGAATCAAAGTAGAACACGTAAAAAAACAGAAAATAAAATGCAAAAGGAAAAATAATACAAAATGAAATCTACAAATCTAGTAGCGAATTTTCTTAATAAGATTGCCAGATTACAAAATATTAAAAGAACTGAAGTGCGTTTGATCTGTTAGTTACCAGGGATTAGCCTAAAAATGGATTTGGGCAAGGTGATAGTATTATAATGGATAATTCGAAGAAATTTTTAATTAATAAGACTAATATTTAATTATACAATTTTAATGAGTTTAAAATATTAACATTTATATATCTATGAAACACATTTTGACATTTTTTTAAAGTTTCTTAAATACTGAGAGGATTACTTTGTAACTTTAGGGGTGTTTAGTTTAGACATTTTTTCATACTTAGCAATAAAGTTTAAAGCTTTCAGAGATTTGTGGGGTCGGCAAAAAATTACGAAAGAAAACAAGAATTTTTAACACACTATGCCAGATAAAAAACTGAATGTTAAATTTTTAATAATTCAATTTTCATGTTACAAATCTCAAACTGATTTATGCTGTGATATCTAGAAATATTTGAGAGAAAGGCATTAAATTTATAAATTATTAATCTTAAATTAGAAAATGTATCTTAATTACATTTGATTTACTATGTATTGAGTATGTTGTGCATTTTTCTCAAATTAATTAACTTATTTTAAGTATTTATTTCTTTCAAAATTGTCGAAAAAATGGTTCATTTCATAAGTTTTGATATTTCATTTGTCTTTGATTTCAATCAATGTGTCACTTTTTTATACTCTCAACTACAGGTCATTAACGAATCGTGAAACTACAAAAATGCTTGTTATTTGCAGATCCTGATATAACAAAAAGGGATGGTATATTTTCCAGATACTTAATTAATACTCCAAACGTAGGGTATTACATTGTAACCACTAAATTAGAAGCTGAATCTTATCTAGTTGGAGACAAATGGAATTCTCAGGGTAAATAAACAAAAACAAAAACTTTTTTGACAGTATCTTAGCAACCATCCGCATGAATGATAATTCAAAAATCTAAAATTTTAATTTTTTTTCTCTAGAGATGAAACCAAGTTATTGTTGTGGTAGTGCTTACCCATCGTCCACATTATACGAGTCAAAGCCACTCATCCGAGTTGTTACACTTGGAAGTATCTTTATCAATGAGAGAAATTTTCGTATTTCTTTACCACCAAGAAGAATTACTGATTTGAGAGTTGAGCTTGTATACTTAGAAAATGGTATTACAGGCTTTGCTTTGAAATGGACATCACCCGGTGACAATTATGATGATGGAACAGGTATATTTTTTAATTATTAAAAGATGAAAAAAAAAGATGCATTATTGAACATTTACACATATAAATTAAACATTTACGTCATTAACACTAAAAAAACTGAAACTTACCTATATTGCCCAAAAGCAGTCAAAATGACTGAATTGTAAAAGAATAAATCATGTGTAAAGAAAATTTGTTTCAAATTAATTTTAATAATATTTTTTACATTATTTACACTTACATAACAAGTTATTAGTAAATATTAACAATAAAAGAATTATATGTTGTACTAAATTCTAAGAAATTGTGTTATCATATACATAATTGTTTTTCTAATTGAAATTAAGAGCAGTCAAAATGGATTCCTTAGGCAATCTAGTGTTAAACACACTTATATTTTTATCATTAAATGTTAACATTTTTATAATAAATCTCCATCGCAATTCTTCGGACAAATGATGCCCGGAGGTCATTGTTACAAATAGGCTATCTAAAATCTCTAATTTTTAAACGCCTCTAATAAATTCGCAGGTTTATTGCATATGACGTCATTTTAAACGCCTCTAATTTAAATACTACAATTGTACTTAGCAACTCTTATTTGACAACATATTCTAATTTTATAGAGATTGACTTATTTTGGGGAGTTTTTTGTAATTTCTAATTTTGTCCCTTTTCCCTAATTTCCTAGTTCTATTTTCCATGTGATCTCAAACTATGACTTTTGGAAGAACACATAGAGCAACAGCGATTACAGCAAAACTTTATACTATTTATTGAAAAAATATGGTTTATGAAATCTTTCATTTATGAGTAGGTTAAAACCAAAAATTATTCGTAAACCAGAATAAACCCTTTCGAATTTTAAAAAAAAATGATAAATTTACTTTTTTGGAGATAGAGAAATGTTGAACGGCAGCTATTAGGAATTTAAAAATAATAATAATAAAAACTTACAGAACCAAAGAAGACATAATATGTTTTATTTACCTAATTTTAATTATTAATCATCTTTTAAGTGGCAATTTTTTTCCCCTTGCAGCACAGGAATATCAATTAAGAGTTTTCAAAAGCAAAGAAGACGCACAAAAGAATTTTGGAAGTGCCTACATTGCCAAACTCAACGAATGGAATATCCACGGTTCTATACTCATTCCTCACAAATCAGGAACAGCTGAAAATGTGATAGTCGAATTAAAGAACCTAACTACCGGAATTTATTTTCTCGCTTTACGCTCTGTAAGCTCATCCGGAAAAAATTCAGAAGTTTCTAATGTTTTAGAAGTATTTCATACTGAGCCAATCATTACGCCAACTTCAATTATATCGACAACCGATGATTCAGGACGACCTACTGGCGACGACTCGGAACCCCAGACTGTTTTACTAGCAGTGACCATAACATTTGGTATTTTATTTATTTTGCTAATTTTAGGCTTAGTTCTTATAATTTATACCAGAAGAAGGCGCAAAAGAGAAGAACAAAATGAAGTAGAGCTAAACAAACGTAAATCTGAGTCTAATAATGCATTGTGCAATGGTAAAGATGGACAAAATCCTTCTGCAATAAGTCCCGTGAACTCATGGCCAGCCGATTCCTTGTTATCCCACTATGAGTCACAACGATGTAAGAAACCGGATGTATGTAATGTCCCCATGGTACATAAAGACTCTGAAGACAGTATTTCGACAGTGTCTAGTAAATACTCATATGGTTTAAAATATCATACGAATCCATCTTTCTATGAGTCATCCTATTTTCCAAATCCTGAAAGGGAGGAAATTAACTATCCATTTAATCCGACATATGACCAATTCCATCCAACATATACTTCATCTTTGCGACGCTTCCCACGGCATGATGGTGATTCAAATATGTTTACACCTGTGGCTCTCGGCCATGCTTCAAGTTTAGATGGGCGACCGAGTCATAGACTCAGAACCGACGTGTGACAGTGTCTGATGACTCGTTCGTACTTAGATTTACAGTATTGCTGAATTCCCATATGAGAGATCAAAAAAACCATTTCACTCATTTATCTTTCAAATTTGGATAGACTATTGAACTCATGGTTTATATTTCAGAGCATTTCACCCCCAGTGCCTGATTGATCCTAAGTTCTGTGAAGGCCGGATCTTGGCCCTACAAATTTCTAGGGATCAATCAATTCCATCAATTTTCAATTGCATTTTACAAATAATGTTATTTTTTTCTTTTGCCTTTAACTGTATACATTTTTATTTTTAATTTATAATGTTTAAAATCAACCGAGAAATGGGTGCAGTTAAAGGGGAAAATACAAAAAAGGAAAAAAAGACATATTGGTGTATTTCTACAGTATTATGAACAATCACTCGCTGAATTCATAAAATATACTGGCCATAATTTAATGTATCAATCATAAATTTTTATATAAATAATCGTTTTCAAACATAGTTACTTTATATTTAAATAATCGTCATTCGTAATATCCGCCGAAATCAACTCAGATAGCACGCTGACAATAAAAAGTGTCACAGATAAAGAAGTAAACTATCAAATATTCTAGTTGAGTTCGGAAATGATAGAATAGTTTTTGTAAAATTAAAGTTTTAAAAAAAAAACACTATGGAAGGGTTGCTGCATAAGATGATGTGANTGTCTTCGGATCATCCTCCGGGATGTTTCCCAGACCGTCGCCAATAGCCCATTGTGCAGCTCTAGTGCGACGTAAATTAATAACAACAACAACAAACATTTATACTTTATATATTAAGCAAATAATCGCAATTCGTAATATCCGCCAAAATCAACTCAGATAGCACGCCAGCAATAAAAAGTGTCACAGATAAAGAAGTAAACTATCAACGATTCTAGTTGCGTTCGGAAATGATAGAATAGTTTTTGTAAAATTGAAATAAAAAAAAACACTATGGAAGGTTTGCTGCATAAAATGATGTGTGATTTTAAACATACGACGAAAATCGACATTGCTATGCATTTAAGGGTTAAGAAATGTATACTTATCTAAAATTTAGATGAATATATGCCAAAATTCTCTTAATGCATCATAATTCTCTTGCTTTTTAATTCATTCAAGATTCAAAATTATAATTCAATCATTCAAGATTAGGATTAGTTGGGCCGCCGAGAATTCTTTGCCTAAAGCTCCGGATTTTCTAAATCGGGTGCTGAATATATTTTTTAGATTTTAAATGAAGGAAGAAGTGTGGGTGTAACACGTTTTTACGCACATATTCTTCAAATTCGTATGAATAGCCGAAATGACTACGCTAAATGGAAGAGTAAACTCCATGACGTTTTGATTTATTAGTTCTACTTTAATGTAGAAATCGCTTCTTTAAGTTTTTATATTGTTTATTACTACAATGTGCAATATCTTGCAAACCTAAACAACCAAACTGTTCACTATGATATTCTCTAACAGTTAAAATCAATCAATTGTTGGGGCAAAAAGAATTATTGATTCTGTTAAATGCTAAGACATATTTTTTTAAGAATATTTTTTTAAAGATTTAAATTGATTTAGTGATAGTTTAAACACTCTTGCACTTAATGCTTAAGTTTTCGCTTATCAATCTCATCCTTTTGCAAATGAAATTATTCTATTTGTAATTTGCGTTTGAGTTGACGAAATTACAAAAGAGTTTCAAAAACCTAGTTTTATTCACAAAAGTATTAAATTGATTCACGAAAGATTTATTCTGGTGTAATTGCGCAAAAACGCTAAAATTAAGATGTTTCCAAAAATGTCATCTTAAAAATAATGTATCTCTTACGAAAATAATATATTAAACTCTAGGAAAAAACGGAGAAAAAAAACGTCTTTGAAAGTTTAAACTTCAACTTTTTTCAGTAAAGCTTACTGTTTATACCTCAGAGTCATTATAAATTAAATATTTGTAATTAACGCAAAGTACACTATACTTCTTTTTTTGCTTACTCCATACTTTTATTGAAATCTAGTTTGCTTTTTAATAAATTTGATTAAACTGCAAAATTTTCTTGAAACTTTTTCTATTTTTCAGTATTATAAAATGATTTATATTCATTTATAATGTCATTTTTCAGAAATACTAACATATTTTTGTACATTACGGAAATTTGTACATTATTTTTTTTTGTACGGAATTTTGTACATTACGTAAAGCTCAACCATTCCGAATTTAATACGTAAAGGATAAAAATGCTTGTTTTTGGTGTGTTAAAAAAAGAAAATGAAAATCATTTACATTAAATGACCATACACATATGTTAATATTCATTGCATGTCTTAGCCTGTTTCAATATGTATCTTGTAATAATTTACTAAGAATTTCATTTGTACATTTTTCATGTTCAATAAAATTTCCTTTTGGTTGCTTTTTTTTATTTATTTGTAATTATCTTATTTAACAATTATCTATTATCTACACTAATGTAATAATTAGACATTTATAGAGAATAATTGTAAAATAATTTTGTAATAGTTGCCTTCTTTATCCTACGAAAGGTGCTCCGTAACGAACATTCGTTTTAGAATCCCTTTCAAAAGAAAAAGATGTACACAAAGGTGCAATAATCATACTCGTTTCCTCAAGGAGTGCTTTTTAAAAGAGGAGAGGTATTTTTAATGACTAATAAAGTTATATTGACAACGTGTAAGGATTAAATGAACTTATATTTTAGCGGTTTAAGAAAAAGAAAAAAAAATGCTAAAAGTTTGAAAAAACATAAAAAAAGTAAAAGTTTGTGGCTCAGTGGTTAAGGTACTAAAATGTCATTGTAAAGAGCTGGGGTTCGATCCTCAGTGGAGATCGATCAACCCAGATTCAGATCAATGGGTACCAGCTTACCTGGAAAGTAAAGCCTTCCTGTGCGCAGTGCTAACAACTTTTCCACAATCATGCCTTTGGTCACGAATTTGTGGAGCCGCAACCTCCATGACTCCTCTAGCCCACATCAGACTGTTGGGGGAATGTTTTACTTAGTATTACCGTATGTCTCAAATCTCATGCTACATACGTTAGGGAATGTAAGACGACAACTGGACAAAAACAAACGATCAGACAAACTCAAGTCGGAAGATGGACAACGGGCTTTTTTTTATGAGTCTGGACTTTTAGTTTTATATCTATTAATTTAATTTTATATCAATTATTCTGGAACCATATGAAGAGCGTCATCTCCTGAAGACCACCCTCTATATATATTTAT